ATAGATAGACAGATAAATAGATAGATCGACAGATAGATAGATAGATTGGTAGATAGATAGGTAGATAGATAAAAAAGATAGATCGATAGATAGATAGATAGATAGATAGATAGATAGACAGCCTAAGCCCTAAACCCTAAACCCCTCTAGGGCTTTGAAGGACGACGATTTCAGGCCGCTGAGCTATTTCGGGTAGGGCGACTGCGGGGTTCCATTGAAGGCTCCGTTTAGGGTTTAGGGTTTAGGGGTTCTGGGGTCTGGGATTATGGGAGGTTTGGAGTTTGGGTCTGGGATTAGGGGAGGTTTGGAGTTTGGGTTTAGGATTATAGGAGGTTTGGAGATTGGGTTTGGGTTACAGAAGGTGTAGGGTTGGGGTTTAGGGTTATAGAAGGTTTAGGGTTTCGGTTTAGGGTTCAGGGGTGTCACACGTGAGGCACACACCAAGAATAGAGTTACATCGTTTTTCTGGCATTGAACCTCGGCTGCTTTCGTTGTTAGACTGGCTTTGTTGGCTGCGGGGAGGGTGAGGGCCGAATGTAGGGGACTGAATAATTAGAATCTGATTTTGGTGCCCAATGTATTATAATTCTAACAAGGACCCCCCCCAAAGAAATAGTATTGGTAATTATTTAGGCCCCTACATTAGGGCTCGTAGGAGTCTTCGACTCTGAGGCTCGCGGGGTGAGGGAGAGTTAGGAGGTTAAGGTGCGAGTCTTCCTTCGGTTTTCGGGTTTATGGGGTTTAGGGTTTAGGGTTTAGGAGTTTAGGGTTTAGGAGTTTAGGGTTTAGGGGTTTAGGGTTTAGGGTTTAGGGCGGGGGTGTAGGATTTAGGGGCGGCTTTTGCTGTCTAGAGGCTGAAGGGTTTGGGGTCTGGGTCTAGAGGCTGAAGGGTTTGGGGTCTGGGGGCAGATGACGGGATTTCGGGCGAAGGTGCTGCGGACGTAAGGTACTGCATGCGGCTGAACAATTATCGTGTAGCAGCCGTTGGGGCAGAGAGGGGATGCGGGGGTGGCACGAGAGTGCAAACTTGCCTTCTTCGACTTGCATCCAAAGAGCATGGTCTAATGCAGACCCATGATTAATACCCCCTTCCTGGATCCGAGCTGAATGAATTAATCCAGGGGTCTACATTTAGAGTTGAACCCGAGTTAGGATTTAGAGCTGTTCGGCCAAAGTGCCATTTGCCAAGCCGTTCGCATGGCCATTCGCATGGCCATTCGCCATGCCATTCACGTAGCCGTTCGTGTAGCCATCTCGGTAGCAGATGGTCTCATGATATCTCATGATTATACGTTCTGTGAGATGCAATGCCAAAAGTTGAGCTCTAACCTTCGCAAGACTCAGCAACATGTCGAAGCCTGAAGTTGGGAGCAGTCATTCTAAGAGGGTTTAGGGTTCAGGGGACGGATTTAGGGGTTTAGGGTTTAGGATTGAGGGTGTAGGGCTTAGACTTTAGGGCACTCAAAAAACCGTGCCCCTAGCCTAGCAACTTGTACTCAACGGTCTAGTCAAACAGACCTGGGTTGGGGGAATGCTGCACCGTAAGGTACTAAAACTGCAAGACAGACGTTCAGGGAATAATCGCAATAGCTACCCTAAGCCCAAAGGCTACAGTAAGGCCTAGATTCAGCCTTATATAGAAGCCTGAGACAGAGACACAACATTTCTGGCTAAAGCTGCCAACGAGCATAGAGAAGGGCATGACATGTAGGGAGACGACAGTTCCCTAAGGATCCATGTAATCCTCTAGATTATTCCTTGGTCTGAAAGTAATCTACTGTTCTAAATTTGGCACATGGACCCGTAGGGGAACCCACGCAATTGCCCGAATGTAAAGTGCACTAGAGCTCTTCCAGCAACCCTTAACCCTATAAACCCTAGGGCCCTATAGGGCTTAGCGCTTACAATTAGGGCTTTGGGCTTTTATGAACATACCCGAAACCCTGATCCCCAACACCGGCCCAATAGCTGAGTACCTGAGTTTACAGCTTAGGATGGTAATGTAGACTTAGTATTTGGGAGGTCATTGCTTGGGTAACCGTTCCCTAAATTAAAGTCCCTTGTGGAAGGGTGCAGTACTATTTTGGCCACCTGAAGAAGGGACCCTAAGTCAGAGATCTACCCATCTGATGGTTAAAAGGTACAATATTTGGACCCTACGGGTATGGTGCTGCTAGATAGAAGTAGCTACAATCGAGATTCAGGGCTCAGGCTACCTTGATACCCTAAAACCCTAAACCCTAAATCCTTGCACCTCTACCATCTTCAAGAAGCGCGAGCGAGGAAGGCGCTGAAGTTCCGCAGAGTGGCTTGAGGCTTTGCTCTACCCATAGGCCCTAAAGTGGTTCCTTTTTGTGGTTTGTATTTAGGATCCTGGCAATTTTTTTGTGGATCCTTGTCAAGTTTTTTTGATCCTTGGGCAAGTTTTTTTATCCTTATCATTTTTTTGATGCCTATGCCAGAATGGCAGCAGAGCAGCCCAAGGAGCCAGGGTTTGATGCACATTGTTCAGTTGAGCCTCGAAAGGCTCCACGAGTTGCACTCGCCGCGTTGCTCCGGCACATTAGATCTTCGCTAAACCACACCGTTACAGCATGGTCTCTAAGGTGCGGTGGCACTCCAGAACACCCCCGGACAGCCTAAAAACGGAAGACTACCCATGACCACCGATGATGGCGCAGAGCAACACATGTACGGCCATAAATGGTGACAAGCTGGCACTGAACCATGTGGAACCCGCAGCGTTAGCAATCTGGCACAGTTGTGCCAGGTTTACATTCTGGAACTACTATGGGGCCTATGGGTAGGGTCTAGGGCTTCGGATGTATCATATATGTAGGGTTTTGCAAGGTTTACAGGGTTTATTCAAGGGTTGATAGGGGTTATACGAACCCTAAACCCTAAATCATAACGAACTATTATCGGATTTAAGGGGGTTTCCGGTGTTATACGGTGAGGGTTTTAGGGTTTAGGCGTTAGGATTCTTCAGGGTGTACCTTGACGACTGGGGGTCTTCACAGGTTAGGCTACAAGTCGGACGGGGAGTCAGAACAACTATCGTTGCATAAATGAACGAACAGGTACGTAAATAGATGTGTTTGCATACATGTGTGTATATATATATATATATTATAGTTTGTAAAATATACATAGACATATGCACATAGAAAAGCACGAAACAAACCATTCCCATAGTACTGACTTTGCTTATACCATATTTCGGCTTCCAGACTTCCAGATGTGTGATGCCCGTCCGATGAATAACCACGGCGGTGCACAAGGTGTCGCGTTGCTCGTGTTCGCTGCTCTAGCTTTCGCCGGAGCCCAGTCGACCCACATAACCACAGCAAACTTCGGAGCCTTTGGATGGGTCGTCGCCGCAAGGTTGCCGAGAGTCTCTTGCTCTGCCGACTTTCTCTTCGCCGGGGAAAGTCGTGACGAAGCAAGACTACCCCAGTTGCCTTGGCGGCGGCAGCAGTCCCTGCTGCCCGAGCCTACCCATGTTGCAGATGGGAGGGGACCCCGCTGCGCTGCTCTTTGAGCCTCTGGAGCCTATAGATCCAGGGAAGCAAAACCAGATCAACCACAGCTAGCTCTGTGCATGGGTTTAGGCTTTAACATTGCGAGCCTGCTTAGGCAGAGACAATCACACCTCAACCGGACCCAAGAAAAAGCGTTCGGGGCTACATGCGCTCTAAGCTCTAACCTGAACCCTAAAAGTCCGAAGCCCTGTAGTACTGCAACATGATCTGGGAGCACGGCTGGCATATCCCTTCTCGTCTTCTTTCTCTGACTTCCTGCGCTGACCAAGTTCGCTTCAGGAAGCTCCCACGAACTTTGAAATGGAACTCTGCTTCGAAGCTGTTTAGGGTTTAGGGTCTAGGGTGTCTAGGGTGTATACCTTAACCTACCATAACCTACTACCGACTTTTTTTGTAGGCTCTTATTCTAAATCCTAATATGGACTTTATAGGGACCCTACAAAAAAGTAGGTTTTGGTAGGTTAAGATAGGTTTAGGGTAATCGACCCGAGGATCCTACGAGTACCCGCCGGCAGCTCCTAACTACTGGGCTTCCGCTCCTTGGCTGCAACGCTACCTTACTTAAGGGATGATGGGACTTAGTAACTGAGCTTTAAGTAAGGTAACTATGCTTATAATTACTTATAACCCCAATTTAATGGTACTTATAACCCTACTCACTAAGTCCCATGATCCTCCAAGTACCTGGACACAGAAACATAAGTAGTTACGACTATGAGGACTCGATAGCCTTTAGGTGCACTCCGGGATTTCATGGCTGTGGCTCCTAAACCCTAAGCCCTAAACCCTAAACCCTAAACCCCTAAACCCTAAACCCTAAACCCTAAACCCTAAACCCCTAAACCCCTAAACCCTAAACCCTCTGGCCAAGGTCCGGATCCCGTTAGAATCCTGCTCACTCGTCAGGGAGTCTACACTACACCCCATAAGTCTATCAGCCCTAAACTTTAGGCCCTAAACCCCAACCCAGATCCTTAAACCCAATGCCCTTAGCCTTCTAATGAATGTTGGAATCTCCCTAAACCCTAAACCCTAATGGCAAAAGTCCTGCTTCGGCGTCCCGCTCGTCGGCTTCTGCCATTCGCATATGCTCCCTGGGCCTCTCTGCAAGGAGCTCTTGGTGGTTTTGGGCATGCTTTAAGCCCTAAACCCTAAACCCTAAAGGGCGAGGAAGTAGGAGCTTTGGGAGGCGTTAAGCAGCAATGCTCTAGGGTTTTAGGAAATCAGAACTTAAGACAACAAGCCATAAAGAAACAAACTATTCAATAGGCTTAGGAACCACGTTCCATGATCGCGGACAAGAGCGCTTGGCCAACACTTGCTTGAATGCCGAGGGACAGTGAATCTCCAGGTGGTTCTCCAAGCAAGTGTTCATGCTTGCGAAGAATTGGTCCATGTCCTCGTGACTGTGTCCAGACAATAAGCAGGACCGCTGCCCTCTTGCGAGTCGATGGCACCTGACCAGAACGGATATGGCCCGAAGAAGTGTGTTGTTTTTAACTTCACGGTTTGTTTTATCCGATTGTAAATGTAATGCGCAGCAGGCCAGCAGCCCGATGCAGCATGTGCAGCATGAGCTCCGTCGAATACGAGGAGTCCTTTGCAAGCCGCGGATGGCTGAGACTCAAGACAGCACCGTGGCCGTGAAGCCAACAACCAACCACGTCCATCGTTGGTCGATGCAATCTCCCAAAGTCCTTTCCCGCTATGGGGCTTAGAAGGGTGTTTAGAAGTGCTGAGGGTTTTGGGGTAAGTGGAACTGAAGATTTGGGAACCATAGGGTCTTTCGGGGGGGTGTCGTCTCTGAGGGATTCAGAGACTCGCCACTTGCTTGATTACACCCTAAACCCTAAACATGCCCTAAACCCTAAAATGCACCCTAAACCCTAGATACCCCCGAACTAAACCCTAAATACGCCCCAAACCCTAAATACGTCCTAAACCCTAAATACGTCCTAAACCCTAAATACGTCCTAAACCCTAAATACGTCCTAAACCCTAAACCCTTGCAGCTCCAGGGCCTCAATTTTAAAAACTGTTGGCTTGCCTGACGGAGGTCCACTACCGAAGTGAACCAATATAGGGGCCTTAACAATTAGAGGCGTGCTCGGGGGTAGGGTTCCTTTGGGGCTCTATATGGGTTACCATGAGGGTTATATGACATTATGATATAGGGGCCTTAATAGTTCGAATAAGGTTTTGGGGTATATGAAACATTAACTATAGTAAGGAATCCCAAAATAGTAGTGGAACGGCCTCGGAAGGTACATGGACCCCCTTATCAACCCTCTGAAACCAAAACCCCAACACCCCCAAAGCCTAAATAAACCCTAAGCCCCCCCAAAAAAAAACTCAAACCGTTAAAACTGCTATAAGGTTAGCCTCTGAATCCTGTAGGAAAGCACTCCAAACCCAAACCCCCCAAAACCCTTAAACCCTAAATAACCCCCTAATTACGCTATAAGCTTCGCCTCCAGACCCTTTAATAAAATCCAAAGCCCTAAACCCAAAGCCCTAAACCCTAAAGTGAAAGCCTTAAACCCAAATCCCCAAACCCTAAACCCTGAACCCTAAGCCCTCAACCCTTAAGTAACCCTAACTCCTAAACCCCAAACCCTAAGACCTAAACCGAAACCCCAAGCTCTAAACCCTAAACCCCAAGCCTTAAACCCTAAACCGTGAACCCTAACGCCTTACACCCCAAACCCGAAGCCCAAAGCCCTATACCCTATAACCCAAGCCTTCAATCCTAAACCCTAAGCCCTAATCCCTAAACCCTATACCCCAAGCCTTCAGCCCTAAACCCTAAGCCCTAAACGCTATACCGTAAGCCTGCAACCCTAAACCCTAAGCCCTAAACGCTAAGCCCAAAGCCCTAAACCCTAAACCCTACGCCCTAAACCCTATACCCTAAGCCTTCACCCCTAAACCCTAAGCCCTAAACCCTATACCGTAAGCCTTCAACCCTTAACCCTAAGCCCTAAACGCTAAACCCTTACCCAAAAACCTTTAACCCTAAACTAAGCCCTAAACCCTAAACCCCAAGCCGTAAAGCCTAAACCCTGAACCCTGCAGCCTTAAACCCTAAACCCTAAGCCTCCAACCCTAAACCCCGCAACCCTAAGCGCTAGACCGTAGCCGCTGCCTCGCTCTCAACGCGCCTGTCCTCTTGTGGGGAAGAGCTCCGCAGGTTGGGGGGTCGGTTTGGGGTTCTACCCATACCTTAGCCTACGGGTGCATGTATCCATATGAATATACTTTGACCCTAAAGTACCCATATAGGGACTACATTAAGGCCTAAGTATGTACTATTTGGGAACATGGACCCTTAGGGTTAGCCTACCATAACCTACCTTTTTGTAGGCTCTTATTTAAAATCCCAATATGGGTTTTATAGGGATCCTACAAAAAAGTAGGTTTTGGTAGGTTAAGATAGGCCCCATAGTAGTTCCTTTTTGCGGCTTATATTTAGGATCCTATTAGGGAATCCGCAAAAGGAACTACTATGGGGCCTATCGGTAAGGTTTGGTGTTTGGTGTTTGGGGTTTAGGGTTTGGGGTTTAAGGTTTATAGGGTTTGGGGTTTAGGGTTCGGGGTTTAAGGCTTGGGATTTAGGGATTTAGAGTTTGGGGTTTAGGGTGTTGGGTTCAGGATTTAAGGGGCTTTGGGTTGCAGGTTTCTAGGGTTTGGGCTTTGGGGTTTAGCGTTTAAGGGATTGGGGTTCAGGGCTTAGGGTGAACATGAGTTGAATTTGGATAGGATTTTCAGACTCTTCACCCACAGGGTCTTAAGTACCTATATGGGAGATACGAACGCAAACCCATAGTTTTAATTCCTAACTTAGAACCCCGACTTCCTACTATATATATATATATGTATGTGTGTATATATATATATATACATATTATATGTGTGTGTTACTTAGGACCCCTCTTGTCAGGCTGTACAGACGGTTGAATAATGTATGATTTGGGATGCCAAGGGTTTCAGTGAAGGCTGCAAGCTGCAGGATGTTAGGTTTCATCTGGTCTCGTTTTTTGTGGAGCATGTAGGCTTCAAGGGTCGTAGAATTTTGCTGCGAAAAATTGGCTTTGTCTTTGACGCGGAGGAAAGGGGCGTGGAGCTGGAGTTCAGGAAAACGTGCATCCGTGTACGATAGTGCAGGTGGCGTGGCTGATCTTGGATCTGTTGAAGGACGGTTGCTTGGTCCTTCTCAAACATAAACCTTGTGTTCAAGAAGAGACCACTGCCGATGGGCAAGATCCTGCACTACCACAAACCCTAAACTATAAACGCTAAACCCCTAAACCCTAAACCTTAAACCCTAAACCCTAAACTCCCTCGTTCTGGACGCAGAGCTTCCTCTGCCCACATTAGGCGCATATTGATGCTTCGAAAGTTTGAGATTGGGGTTCTGGCTCCGGCTACCCTAAGCTGAAGCCGAAACTCCCACTCCAAGCAACTATGATTATTTATCCGCTAAGGCTTACATAACCGCTTCAACTGTTGCAGAGGAATCGCAGCAAAGCAGGAACCCGGTGTGAGGTTCCGATAATTTTGCGGGATTTCAGGCCGGGGTTGCGCAACTTGGCCCGTAAAGCCTAAACCCTAAACCCTGAACCCTAAAGCCTGAGGCGTCGGGCCGACGCCTCTCAAGCCCGACAGCTCCAAGGCCTTATGCAGCCTCTTACATCCACCCATAGGCCCTATAGTAGTTCCCATTTTGTGGTTTCTATTTGGGATCCTATTAGGTAATCCCAAAAAGGAACTACTATGGGGCCTAGGGGTATTCTCAATTCTCAACCCTAAGCCCGAAACTCTACAACCACTCTGACGGCTACTCTTGCAAAGAGCCTCGGGGAGCCGTGCGTAGCTGTCCAGGCAGACCTGCAGGCATATGGCATACGCCGCTGGCGGCCCGGGTGTCTCCGCTGGTGATGATAGTGATGGTGGCGGTGGTGGTGTGTGGTGGTATGTGGTGATGCCTCTGATCTCTTGATGATGAAACTGGTGCTGGCGACGAACCTGGCGATGATTATGGGATTGCCGTTGTTGTTCCAGTTGGTAATGATGAAGGCTGTTCTCGATCATGCTGCTGCTGACTAGGGTTACTGGTGGTGGCAGCGGCGGCGGCGGTGGTGGTGGTGGCAGAAGTAAGAGTAATCGCAGTAGAAGCAGGAGTAGTAGCAGTAGTAGTAGTAGTAGTAGTAGTAGTAGTAGTCGTCGTCGTCGTTGTCGTTGTCGTCGTGGTAGTGGAAGTGGTAGTGCCCCGGCAAAACACTGGTAGTAAACACAGAAGTTGAGCTGTGAATGTCTGTGCTTATCTACATGACTGAGGATGCATGTTTACCCACATGTATATATGCTGGCATGAAGGCGTGCGCTTGACGACTCAAGATGTACTGTGTCAGCTGTTGACACGCTTGCTCTCACGGCTTGTGTAAGATAGGCTCTGCTGCTGCTTCTGAACCCTAAACCCTAAACCCCTAGCCCTAGACCCTCTGGGGTGCTCCAGTGCTTCTGGCAGCTGCATGGTCCTGCTCTCTTGCCCATAACAATGCAACTGTCAAAGCTTTCTAAGGGTTTTGGGGTTTAGGGTTTAGGGGCTTTGGGCTTGGGGGTTTAGGGTTGTGGGACACCTTGACAACCCGTAGTCAGCAACATGTGTTCCTATTTCGGGCAGAGATGGGAGAAGAATCTCCGGGCGCTACACCCTCGCCCTGAATCCCGAAATGCGAACCTTCAACCCAAGACCCACAACAACCGAAACCCTTCCCCCAAAATCCTGCTCAGAGCTTCCCAAAACATACTTCAAAGCAAACCCCCTCAGGGTTCTTTAAGACCTTGCGGAACTGTAGTGCCAAGAGTTGGCTGCACAAGTTCGCCTGAGCGTCACAAAGAAGAGGCCGCTGCAACCTGACATCTGTGAACTGTAGGGTTTGGGTTGGGGTTTAGGGTTTAGGGTTTAGGGTTTAGGGTTTAGGGTTTAGGGTTTGGGGTTTGGGGTTTAGGGTTTGGGTTGGGGCTTAGGGTTTAGGGCTTTAAGGCTTCTAGGGCTTGAGGCATTGGGATTTAGGTTTAGTGTTTAGGTTTACGGCTC